CCCGGAAAACCTCACCAGTTCAGGAGACATCCTGACCAGAAGCCTGAGCCACCTCAACTGGTTCCTCTTGATGTGGAGGAGCAGAGGGTGTACTCTGAGCCCCTCCTGGATGACCGAGCTTTTCACCCTATCTCTAAGGCCACCCTGCAGAAAAAAGTCATTCGGCCGCTTATATCCACAATCTCGTTCAGTCACTACCCAAAGCTCGTGACCATAGGTGAGGGTACGAACGTAGATCGACCGGTAAATCGAGAGCTTCGCCTTCCTACTCAGCTCTCTCTTCACCACAACAGACCGGTACAACGCCCGCATCACTGCAGACGCAGCACCAATCCGCCTATTGATCTCATGCTCCATCTATGGGGTCTTGTTCATGAGTGAGGAAAAAATAAACTCCTCCACTTGAGGCATGACCTCGTCCCTGACCTGGAGAAGGCATTCTACCTTTTTCCAATTCAAGACCATGGTCCCGGATTTAGAGAAGCCGATTCTTATCCCAGCTGCTTCACACTCGGCTGCAAACCGCTCCGGTGAAAGCTGGGGATCACATTCTGATGAAGCCAACAGGACCACATCATCTGCAAAAAGCAGAGACCTTTTCCCCAGGTCACCAAAACGGATGGTCTATAGCACTACAAATATAATAAAAGCAACTATGGAACAAGAAGAGTTTCCAACATCCTTCCAAGAGAAACCGTAAATACAAAACTTGAGAACAAGTAATGTTATATTACTTTATTTATCTTTTTTTACAATGTAATTACAATACAAATATGTTGGTTTAAATACAAAAATTCTGTAAATAAAGATTAAAAATAAACTCCACTGGCTTGTTTTGTTACCATCACTAAGCTATCGTTTTACAATCAGGTTTATGAGGTCATTTAGTTTGTCTTATTGTGGAACACATAGCCTGCCTTTCTAATTTGGAGGGCGTGCAAACAAGAGTTGAGGGCACAAGGAAATAAGTTTTCATCAAATAAAGCATCTATTTCATGAAACCAGTCTCGCTTAGTAAAGAAAGGTCGAGAGAGCCGTTTAAATACGTGTTTGATGTGAGCAGCTCACCAGTCAGATGAACCAGCAGGACAGAAGCAAACATCTGGATGTGAGAGATGAACAGGAGCATCTCTGATCAGACTGGCGGGGGAAACAACACAGACTGGTTGTGGAGAGCCCTTCACTGGTGAATAGTCCTACTGTTGTTATGACATATGATGGAAACCTTGTTGATGTTTCTGATGATTAAACATGAAAAAGTCGTTTTTTATGACACTAAAGTCATTAAGATGTCTCGCTCTTTAACTAGAATCAGAGGATTTGCTTTGGAAGATGTTTTTGTTGACGAGGAGCCTTTGCTACGTCTCAGGATGAATGCGCTGTGATGGCTTTGACCCTAAATCCTCTCATCGAGACATCCCGTTCATCCCATTCTGTCGGGTTTCCGCCTCCCCTTCAGTCGTTAATGGTCCGACTCATTTCCGACACACGGCGGGTCGGCTCTGTTTCTGCTCTTACATTTTCTTCACGTGAGTGTGTTCCTTCCTATCGGTCCTGGAGTCTGAGGAATGCAGCGTTAGTACAGGTGAACACAAACAGGTTGGGCACAATGACTACCCTGTGTCTAAAGGCATCAATAGATCCATGACATTTGGAACGTAGTGCATTGTTTAGCTAACAGTTCCACAGTGCTGTGGTGTTTTGTTCCACTGAGTTGGTTTGGTTCTTGGTTTTGTGTGACGAGGGACATCTGTGTGCTCTACGGTCCAGAGAGTCTGTGTGCTGGTTAACCTGAAGTTAGACGCAGCTGCCAGGCCAGATGAGGCCCGTCGGACCTCAGCAGCACACCTGTGTGAGGACTAGAGCGCTGCTGCAGCCCGCGTTGTGGTTATTTGGTTCCTGTCACTCACTACCCGCAGTGCCTTCATTCTCTAAATGTAAACTCTCTCACAAATACAGTTGAAATATTCTTTAGAGACAATCAAATGTACTCAGGGCTAAAAAGCCGTACTCCTGAAACACGACCTAACATGCTGTTAGGTACATGGAACTTGTTAAAATAAACAAAATAGTTTTGGCCATAAATCTCTACTGCAGGTCGGTACGTTATGTGGGCTCGTCCTTTCAGGCGTCGGGCTGTGCTCTAGGATCAGCATCAGTGTGTCCTTCTACACTGCCTCTCTGCTTCTCCACATGTTGCAGTGCAGCCATACACATTGTGTCCAAAACAATAAAAACAATTCAAGCAAAACTTCCAAAATTCTCCCATGGAGATGGAATGCATCTAAGTGGAGTCCACTTTTAAAGAAAGAAACCACTGAATGGTGTCCTCCCTCGGGGCTTTCATGCAGTTGTATCGAGGAAAAGTGAAGCTTGAGTGGAGAAGTGGAAGCAGGAAGGAGAGACAGTTACCAGGTGGACTGAAGGGACACAGACCTGATTCTCAGACTGCAGCCCAGAAAACTCCTAATTTTTTTCCATCTATGAGGTCATAAAGAAACAAATGTCACTGAAGCACTGAATTCCAGTTTAAGCAAGAAGGCTGGAATCTGTTTCTGACGTCCTTGGGCTTTAGCCGCAGAGCAAGTGCTATGGCTTTGAGCGCTGGAGTCCAGCTCAGAGCTCTATCTCAAACGTCTTCTGCAGATTGCTGGAAAACGGGTTGGCTGCAGCTGCGGGTGCCTTGCTCCCTGTCGTCTGAGGTGATGGTTTGGATTCCAGTGCTGCCCACTTGGCCTCAAAACGATCATCATCTTGGGTGTCGCTCAATGGTAGAGCTGTAGGCTGGCTGCCCTCTGAAGGCCAGCTGCTACTGGCACCACTACTCCCAGCACTGCCCGAGGTTCCATTGTGAAGGGTCGTCGTTGCACTGCTGTGTGGTGGGACGCCATTAATGGCTGTTGACAGTGGTGAAGTAGAGGAAAATGTAGCTGTGGGGAATCCTGCAGTTATACCAGGTGCTCCTGGATAGGAATGGTGCTGCCCCACGGTTTCCAGTGCCCCAACTTTGGATGCTCCTGAGCCCATGGCTGCACCTGATGAGCCTGTGGCAGTGCAGAAGGCGTTGGCCACCATTTGAGATGGTGTAATGCCCACCACGGGCACACTGGCATTAGAATAGGTCATACTGCTGGCCAGACCTGGCATGTAGGTCTGCATGGGCAAAAAAGCAGGCTGGACCAGTGGGCTGGTAAACATTCCTACTGGGGCTGGAGTGGCATCAAAAGCCAGAGAGAATGGTTGCATTGAGCTTGGGAGAGAGCCAGGGGGTCCAGAGAGAGGGGGCTGCATTAATGAGGCCCCGGACATGCTCGGACCAGACATGGTGGGGATGGACATGGATGGAAGAGACATTGGAGGACTGGATACTGGAGGACCTGGTATCAAAGGAACAGATGATATTGGCATGGGTGGGAGGGGCACTGGGCCTTGACCTGGAAGAGCAGAGGGGACTGACATAAGAGGTTTGGATAAGGTGCCCATGGGCCCAGTGGATATAGAGACAGTGGATACAGGGGCAGCTGACATGGCTGCTGGAGTAGATATGTGATGAGTGGTTACGGAAGGTGGTCCAGGAATAGTTGGGATGGTGGGGCACGAAAAGGGTGTCTGTTGCTGTGCTTTCACAGCCTTAGACACTTCCTCTAACCATCTTTCTGCCTCTGAAGGAGTGCGTCTGTGGCCCATCTGCATCGCCACGGAAACAGGAGGAGAGTGGAGCGAGGATTCTGGCTGCACCCAGGATGGGGTAGCTGCAAAATGAACGAAGAAGAGCTTAAAAAGAGGTAGTACTCCCCAGGTGGATCAGAGTATTAATAAGAGTCACTGAGTCCGTTTTCTTACCCTGCAGCGGGGCAGGAGGTGGAGGCAGAATGGGAGGTGCAGTGCAAGGTGGCAGGTCATTCGCAGACAAGGATGGGCTGGAGAAGAGCTCATCTGACGGCTTTGTGAAGGAAGCGTTGATCTGACTGCACAAGGCGTTTATACTACTGTCACCCTCACATGGTAGGCACCCGTCCATCTCTGGTACTAGCAACAAAGGGACAGACAGAGGGGTGGAGAAGGAAAGAACAGAATAGGGCGGGATTTAAAAACGATGATTGGGAAGTGGGAAAGAAAGGAAATAAACAAAATAAAAGTCTCCGTTAGCATCAATGCAACGAAACTGGAGCAGAAATGGTCTTTTCATACGACTGGTACTGACTTACAAAATCTCCATAAAAACACAATTTCCTAATCTGGAGCTAATGGCTAAATGAAGGAAAAGAGCTGATCGCATCTATCAGTTTGAGAACTGGATTTTAATGTGATCTTAAATCAACAGGAACTGATTACAAGGACAGTCACTGTGGAGAACTGACTTCCCTGTTGTAACAATGGTTCTTGGAAGGCCTGATTAGTCACAATGTAACCAGCAGGTATAACTTCTATTCATGTTCCAGAATGCCCAGCTGTCCTGTACATATCCCGCCTTCCCACAGTAATTAGGAAAAAAGCAACATCTTTTCTGGTCATTTTATCTCCGTAAACCACCAGATAGTTCCTGAGTGCGTCCAAGTCCGCAGCTCCCCACTCCCCACAGGGATGGTTCAAATACAGAGGACAATTTTCACCGCACCACACCAGTGTGTGTGACTACTCTGGGACTTTAAACCTCATTTTACACTGTCCTCAGTAGTGTGTAGGAGATCAATACGCAGCCACAACAGCTGGCTCCTCCTCCTCATACTGGTCACCAGTCACTTTCAAACGGTATATGACCTTTTGTCAAGAAGCCAGTGAGCAAACACAAATGCTTGTGGCTTCTTTAGTTTATTCATTTGAATTCCTGTTTTTTCATTCTTTTGACCACCTCACCACTTCAGAAACTCTTCAAGCACACAGTTTTTTTGTCTTCCTCTTGTAGCGTTGGAGAAGGCCGTGGAATGCAAAGGTGAAGACACTGTCCACTAACTGCTTCATCAGTGTGTCACAGGTTAACTGTCTAGTCTCCAAACCAGAAAAATACTGCTTGTGACCTCACCAGCGGGAGGTACAGTCACAACAGACTCCAGACAAAGGGCAGAACTCTTAACCTTAATAAAATAATCTTTTTCTTGCTCATACAAAAAATTTATTAACTTTACATGTTAATTACAGTTACATTATACAATGAATGTTTTGTCTAAAGTGATTTAATAATGTCTTGATTGCTTTATTGTATTGAATGAATCAACATAAGTGGTCATTCTTGAAATGCCTTATCTCAGACCTTAAATAAATCGGCAAAATCGGCCTTATCGGCAAAATCTTCCGCAAATTCAATATCCAGTTTCACTGCTTTGCAGATGACACCCAGCTCTACATTTCCAGTAAGCCCAACTCAACTCTCCCACCATCCTCCCTTACACTCTGCCTCTCTGAAATCAAATCATGGTTCACCTCTAATTTCCTCAAACTCAACGGCAATAAAACTGAACTTCTTCTTGTTGGCACTAACTCCACCCTCTCAACATCTGACAGCTTTTCTTTAACTATTGACAGTCTCCCCCTCACCTCACGTCAAGAGTCTGGGTGTCATTCTCGACAGCTCACTTTCTTTTCAGGCTCACATTAATAACTTAATTCGGTCAGCATACTCCCATCTACGTTCCATAAACCGTCTCCGCCCCTCCCTTACCCCTCACACTGCCGCCATTCTCGTCCACAGCCTCGTCACCTCCCGTATCGACTATTGCAATTCACTCCTTTATGGTCTTCCCAACAAACTCCTTCATAAACTGCAACTGGTCCAGAATTCAGCAGCCCGTATTATCACCAGAACCCCTTCCATTCACCACATCACGCCGGTTCTCCAGCAGCTTCACTGGCTCCCAGTTAAATTCAGGTCCATCTTCAAAATTCTCCTCCATACCTTCAAAGCAATCCACAACCTCTCTCCTCCATATATCTCAGACCTTATAAGTATTCACACCCCGTCCCGTTCACTCAGATCTTCTTCTTCCATCCATCTTGCGGTTCCTTCTGCCCGTCTCGCTACCATGGGGAGCAGAGCTTTCAGCCGCTCTGCTCCTCAACTCTGGAACTCACTTCCCCCAGACATCAGGAACGTCGACAGTTTTACCCTTTTCAAAACAAAACTCAAAACACACATGTTTAAATCTGCCTACAACCTCTGCTTTTATTGAAATGTTTCTCTCTGTTTTTTTTCTTCTTTGGGTTTTATTATTGTTTTATTGTATTTTATTACGTGTTTTGTGTAAAGTGACCTTGGGTGTCCTGAAAGGCGCTTTTAAATAAAATGTATTATTATTATTATTATTATAAATACACCAAAGGAGTCTAATTGATGATTTAATAATGAGTTATTATCAGTGATGTCATATACCATTATCAATATATTGACAAATGTCTGTTATATCATATTTGCTTCACATATTAAGTGAAATAAGTCTTTTCTAAGTGTCTTAGAAAAGGGGACATCTGAGTACTCTTGGTTAATGCCTCTTAAACCTTCTGCCTTCTCATTGGTCCAAACTTAAAACAAAATGGACCTTTAAAACAATAGACACGGAGATGAAACTTCAGTTCAAGCTGTTCCAACTTGTGCTAAATTAACATCTTTTGAGGAATCAACACTGACCCAGAATAACTAAAAATAGGATGGGAGGCAGATCTTTTAGCTATCAGGCTCCTCTCTTGTGGAACCAACTCCCAGCTTTAGTCCGTGAGGCAGACACCTTGTCTACTTTTAAGACTAGGCTTAAAACATTTTTATTTGATAGGGCCTATGGTTAAAATCTGATGTTAGCCCAGATCTGGACAAGTGTGTCATGTTGTGGGGATGTTTAGGACCCAAATATGCAGATTACCCAGACGACAAGAGGCAGAAGTTGGTTGAAAGTAAAAATCCTTTTATTTGCAGGATAAAAGAACAAAAATAAATCCAAGGTAGTGAGCCAAAGTCCAAAAGTCCTGGAGCACAGGACACAAAAAGCTCTCTTAGAGCACCAAAAAACCTAGAGACAAGAAGCTCACTAAGAGCACGAAGACCTAGAGACGAAAAGCTGAGACAGAGCACGAACAAACGCTGACAGAAACACAATGGACCGACAACCACACAGAGACAACACAGGGCTTATATAGACTGGGAAGATGAGAGGGAGATGAATTGCAGGTGTGTGGGGAGAGGGACCAGGTGAACAGGGGAAGCTGACACTAAAGGAAAACACTACAGAAATAAACTACAGGGGCGTGGCTAAGAGGGGGCCAAGAGAGCACAGGACCTGGGAGAGGGAAGTCTGAGGATGGAAACCTAGAGAGCAAATGGGGAACACCAGGAGACACATAAGGAAGACGCAGACACGACACATGCGCTAGAAGACACAAAAGGAGCACCTAGAGACGAATGAGGACAAAAGGAGACACATGAGGAAGACGCAGACACGACACATGAGGGCGCTAGAAGACACAAAAGGAGCACCTAGAGACGAATAAGGACAAAAGGAGACACATGAGGTGAGATGCAGACACAGACCATGACAAAGTGGGGGAGTAGAGGGAGGTGGAGTGTACAGTCGGTAAAGACGCTCTCCCTTGCCCTGCCTCCAACATGCCTCCATCTAAATAGGATAGATTATCCAGAGTTATCTCTGTAGTTATGCTGCTATAGGCTTAGACTGCTGGAGGACACACTGACCACTTTTCACACTCTACTGCTTTCTTCTACAGTCTGCTCTTTAACTGTATTATTTCCTGCTATTTCAGCTGTTTATTTTCTCTCTAAGTGTTTTTCTCCCCAGAAGAAGCTACAACGATGTTCTGCTGAGCTGTGGTGGCCTCATGGAGGGGGCCATCGTCTAGCACACTGCTGCTAACCACTTAAACATTCTCACTCTCCTGATAATAACTTTTTACTCTCTTTGACGTTGGATGTGCTACTACTAGTTTATCCGTTTAATTATAGATCCACTAGGATAAATACAATAAAGTTTATCTCTCACCAAATAGAATATTTACTAAGAAATCACAATAAAACCATAGACACACTAATTAGTATATATGTTGTGTGTGTGTGTGTGTGTGTGTGTGTGTGTGTGTGTGTGTGTGTGTGTGTGTGTGTGTGTGTGTGTGTGTGTGCGCTCTGTCTTCTCCATCCCCAGTGAGTCGTGGTAGGTGGCTGCTTATACTGAGCCAGGATCCTCTCTTGTCGTGATTTGGCGCTTTATAAATAAACTTGAATTGAATTGAATCTTTCAATGGTCCTGAAAAAGGATGGATTTTGCAGCTAAATGTATTCCAAACAACTTTTGTAAACAACTCATCAGGGGTTAAACGGTCCGCCAGCAGACCCAGGAGGCTATCTCTGACCAGCTGATGCAGATTCAGAGGAATACGGCCTTTGATGTCCACAAGTCAAACTACTCGCTTGCCAAGAAGACTTCGTGGCCAGCCGGATCACCTTGAAACCTCAATACACACGGGTACCATAACTGCAGCGGCACTGGTTGGCTTAAGATTAATTTGATAGCTACATAAAATTCAGCCAGATAATGTTGTAAACCCAGACATCACATTTTTCCAAGACGCTTAATTAGGCTCTCAGTAACATCTGAGATCATATTTCATCAAGTCATCATTGTCTCAGTAGGTAATACCTTAAATAAGCATTTAAAAGCATTTGTCCTGTATCATCACCAGTAGTAAAAATGTACAGTGTAACACATTGATTTTTATAGACTATATTTTTACCTTTGTGTCAAAATATTATAGTGTTCTTCCCTGGCATTACCCAAAGTACATATTTATATCATCAATCGAATATTAAAGGTTCAATTACATGAATAATCCATATTTTTATGGAGTACTACATTTTGTTGATTACCTTTATGTTTTATTGACAGTTTATGAAGAATAAAACGTTACACTCTTCTCGACTCATCCTCCTCCAGGTGGAAAACAGGATTTTGTGCACATGGTTCATACCAGTTAGTCAGCAAATGAAAGTCTTGCAAATTGTATTTGTGTGAAATTAAGATTGAGGCTGAAGT